CGCAGGCGCAGCGATCCTGGCGCCGCGGCTCCTGCGCAGGCGCAGCCCTGGTGTCCTGGTTTGGGCTGGGATAGTTAATTTTCTTCATAGTATCTGGCATAGGTCTGGGTGTTGCATTTTGTACCAGAATGTTGGTAACAAAGCGATGTTTTTAATTCCTGCCAAGTAGTGCTCAGACTACTCAAGGCCTTTTTGAGCTTCTCCTGCTCGGCCAGGGGCATAACAAGCTGGGAGTACAGCACAGCTAGTACAGCTAACCCAAACTGACCAAAGGGCTATTCCAGACCCTAGAACGTCATGCTCGGGGGGGTTAGTCAGTTGAGGGTGGGGAGAATCATCGCAGCTCGCGTGATCGGGGAGTGATCACAGCTCGGGACGGGCTGGGCATCGGTCGGCGGGTGGCGAGCAATGGCATTGTGCATCAATCATTTTGTATATTCTGTAACTATTCTCATTATTACTATTATTTTCTCTTCGTAAATTGTCTTTATCTCAGCCCACAGCTCTAACCTTGTTTTTCTTCCGCATTCTCTCCCCCAGCCCACTGAGGGAGGGGGGAGTGAGCGAGCGGCTGCGTGGTGCCGAGTTGCCAGCTGGGTTAAACTGTGACACCCAGCGCTGCAGCTCTGGCGCAGGCACAGACCCAGCCCTGGCGCCGCAGCTCCTGCGCAGGCGCAGAGACAGACACAGACACGAGCGGGAGGGTGCACTCCTTTATTGGGAGGGTGGGGCTCACACAGAGGTGCCTTCAGCAGGCTGGTCAGGCTGCGCCTCCTTCTTGCTGTCCTCTGGCTTCATGGCAGGGAAGAGAAGCACCTCCTGCGTATAAAGGACAGCGTCAGTGGGCACCAGGGCTGCCCCCCGAGGGGGGTAGGGGGGCAAGTTGGCGAGAGGGGCCCTGGGCCCGGCTTCCCAGTGCTCTCGATCATGCAGTGGCAGCACCCGGCGCACACCCTGCACTGCGGCCGCAGGCTCTGTAGAGCTCTCCAAGCGAGCACAACAAAGCAGAGCTTTTCCAACCGAGGTGGAATTCTTTGTCTTAACGCATCTCCAGCGGCTCCGTGGTCTGCTACTTGTTTGGTGGGGGAGATGGCCTGCTTTGCAGAATGTCATTCCCCGTTCTCCGACAGAGCTAGCGGGAGGCCCTGCCGTTTCTAACACTTGCCTTGATGTTATTAGAATCTGTGAGGAACATGGTGAAGCGATCAATTCCCATGCCCCAGCCAGCTGTAGGAGGGAGGCCGTACTCCAGCGCGGTGCAGAAGTTTTCGTCAATGAACATGGCTTCGTCATCCCCCGCAGCTTTTGCCTAAACGAGGTGAAGGAGATCTGTGATGTTACTCACTCTCATTGCTCATACTCACTTTGAAATTTACTATCGAGCAAGTCCGTTAACATCAGTCTATTTCCCTGGGTCTGGCAATTGTTTAATCCTCTCAGGCGCTGTGAAGCCATTAGAGAGAGTAGGAAGAACAGGAAATCCATTTCTGCAGGCTGCATCATCTGACCTCAATCACGTGTGGGCACGCATGCATTCATGGATGCGTAGGCCTAATTAATAACAAAACCTGTTTGCGTCCCGCCTTTCTGAGGCTCATCTAGAGAAAGCTGGTACTATACATTTGCAGGCCTAACAGTGTCCAGTCTGCAGCTCCATTCTGTAAGCCAATTTAAGATAGTAATATCTCAGTTCAGGAAACGAGTCTGTTTCTTACACACCATTCAAACTCGTTCGGGACACGAGCATTTATTTAAGAACCTGGAAGTATGATGATGTATGACTACATCAATGCTTAACTGGGGAAAAATAACTTTCAACCCGAGCAAGACAGAGGAAACGCTTTGCACATTTGCTTTTTTCCAGATTAGCACCTCAGGTCAGATAGAAGGGAAGATATTCCAAAGCAAAGTCGCACTGCTAAAAAACTAATCGACAGCAGCGTTTGGACTTGTTTACCTTAGAGAGCAAGGCTTCTTTCGAAGGAATTAAGTTTCAATGACAGGCTTCCACTTGAGTGAGAAGCACTCGCTCAAAGTAGTGACAACCCTTTTCAGCAGCAGGGACGAACGACAGGTTTGGAACAGACATAGGAAATACTCTTTGCTTATGTGCCTGTATCGTGGATTCACTACCGGCAAGACACCCATACCTTGGCCTGATCCTCAAAAAGCCGCCG